TCCCACATCCTGATGTGTCCGGCATACGCGTGGGTGTGCGTTCGCCTGGATCACTTTCTTCTCCTTCCGGAAGTTCCCAAACCGATTCTCGAGTGATCTACAGATTTTTCGTATTAGACGTATTATGTGGATCAACATAAAAGGTCAAGAAGAAATTTTTTCTGCAAGAAGAATGCTGAACCTTATGATAATAATACTTGGCTCCATCTTCGTCAACTGCTTTCCTCCAAAGGTATTCCTTTTGAGGAGGAGGAGGTGGTGGAGTCTTCGGTGTCGGTGGGGGTGGAGATTTGGGCGCAATGATTGCGGGAGGTGTCGTTGGCCTTTTCTAAATATTTTGGATTGTTTATTCAAACAAAATTTTTTTCAAGATTTCAGATATATAAATCAGCTGCAAGAAAACCTCACCTTCTCCAGCTTTTGATCAAGGATCGCTTGCACAATTGCCATCTCTTTCAGAAGACTTTGCGTACGTTGCCTAGAAGAAAAAACTTTGCTGTTGAAAACGAAATCTCTACAACTTATTTTCAAACTCACTGTAACGAGATCACATCGTAGCCTTCATAGTACTTGCGACACTCTTCCGGATCGAAATCGTCAAGTGGTGCTTGTTGACACTCGTACGGAGCCTGATAACCCGGATCAAGCATCGGATAGTTGGGATAGGGACCAAATTCGGGGAAAGGTGGAACGGGCGGATATACTATAATGATAAAGTTGCAGTCTTTCGTAAAAAAAGAAAATATTCACTGACCAGTGGGAGGCGGTGGAATAATCATCTGTGCAGGTGAGATTATTTGAGGAGGTGGAGGAGGAGGAATATTTGTGGTAACGGTTGGCCGAGGCCACTAAAAGAGCAGAATAAGTGGCATCTTTAGAAAAAAAATGCAAAAAATTACATTAGGTATGACTTTTGTAATTATTATAGGTTCATCATCATCAAGACGGCTTCGTTTGACAGTGCGCATATGTTCAGTAATAGAAGTGCAAGGGCCAATTCTACATCGGATAGTTTCGGTAATACCACGATCTCTTGAGGAACTTCTTGTTCTTTTCCTGGGTCGGTAGTCTAAAGTTACATGAAAGTCAAATGAGCTACAAGTTTAGTAAAGTAAGATCTGTTACCTTTGCTCCATCGTGATATCCGGAAACGATATTTCCCATTGGGACCGACGGCCCCATTTCGTCTTCCATGGAAGTTCAGATAACGGCCATGGTTCCTACGAAGATCACTATCATAACTCAAAGAGACCGCATTCTTTGAAGTTACCTCGACGATAACTGGTCCTCAACTCTTGCAAGTTCAGCCTCTTTGCCAGCAGCAGCTCTGTCAACCTTCTGAAAATTCTACATCTACTGAAAATCTACTAGGTAGTTATTGCCCACCTTCTTGTTGGGAAATGTGGGGAAAATTCAAGGAAAATGCAGAGATTCAAAGACCGTAGGACTTACCACTTTCTTAGGTATCCGAAAGCTGACATGTTGTTG